CTGCTTCTCCACGTGGTCGCCATTGTCTCCTGATGAAACAACTCTGAGCACGTCCTTGGGGCTACACTGTCTGCACAAAGAGGTCTAAGACTGTGCTGGCCTATACAGCAACCACCAGCCACAGGAGGCTGCTGAGCTCTTAAAATTGGGTTGTGCTGTAAGTATAAAATCCACAACCCTATTTCAGACTTAGAGTGGAAAAAACACATCAAATGGCTCCTAGGTAATCTTTGTGCTGATAATGTTCAGATGATTATATTTTAGATGTATTGGGTTAAATAACACATTAAAATAAACTTCCCATTTCTTTTCACTTTTTTAAGGTGGTTACCAGAACATTTTAAAGCATGTGCTTGGTTTTCCTTGTATTTCTGTTGGCTGCCCCAGTCTAAGCTAGATCGCGACATGTAGAGTTTCTTAAAACCTGGGGCGGCCACTGCACTCCAGTCTGGGCGACAGAGTGAGACTCCAACTCAAAAAAAACCAAAAAAAACCCAAAAAAACCTGGCCCTAGTTTCCTCTTTGGCCTTCTCTCTTTCCCTGTCCCCCTGAGAACGTCTCATAACCCCCAGGCTCACCAGCTCTGTTTATACATGTGGGGTTTTTGTTGTTTTTTTTTTTTTGAGTTGGAGTCTCACTCTGTCGCCCAGACTGGAGTGCAGCGGCCGCTCCCGGCCACCACAGCCTCGACCTGCCAGGCTCTGGCGATCCTTCCGCCTCAGCCTCCCGAGTAGCCGGAATGACAGGCATGCGCTACCACGCCCGGCTGATTTTTTGATTTATTGTAGAGATGAGGTCTTGCTGCCCAGGCGGGTCTCCAACCCGTGGGCTCAGGCAATCATGTGGGAGTTTTTTTCCCCCTAATATATTCTTTCTTTTTCCTGAAGTGTCCTTTAGTTAGCTGTCAAATCCTGCTCAGACTTTTAGAACCTGACTTAATTATCCCATCGCTGCCGGCATGGTGGCTCATGCCTGTCATCCCAGCCCTTTGGGAAGCCAAGCCAAGCAGATTGCTTGAGCCCAGGAGTTCAAGACCAGCCTAGACAACGGAGCAAGACTCCATCTCTACAGTGAATCAAAAAACTAGCTGGGCCTGTTGACCAGTTCCTATAGTCCCAGCTGCTCGGGATGCTGAGGTGGAAGGATCGCCGGAGCCCAGGAGGTCGAGGCTGCAGTGAGCCATGATGGTTATTATGATCATCCCTATTGCACTCAAGCCTGGGCAGCAGAGTGAGACCCTGACTCAAAAAAAAAAAAAAATTGTCCCATGCTGGTGAAGTTGTACCCCATATCCTCGAGCAGAATTAGCGCCATCTCCCCACGTGGCATCACTCAGAACATCCATTATTGTGCTTGTCTTGCTGTTCTGCCTTTAGGTGTCTTTTTTTTTTTTTTTGAGTTGAAGTCTCACTCTGTCGCCCAGACTGGAATGCAGTGGCCACTCCCGGCCACCACAGCCTCGCCCTGTTGGGCTCCAGCCATCCTTCCGCCTCCGCCTTCCAAGTAGCCAGAACTACAGGCACACACTACCACGCCTGGCTAGTTTTTGATTTATTGTAGAGATGAGGTCTCGCTGCCCAGGCGGGTCTTGAACCCGCAGGCTCAGGCAATCCACTCACCTCAGCCTCCCAAAGGTGTGGGATTACAGGCTGAGCCACCAAGCCCAGCTTTAGGTGTCTTCTTAACTAGACCCCTCAAGGGAAGAGGCTGCAACCTTTCGTCTGATGAGCCTGAAGACAGTACCTAGTGTGTGGCAGACGTTAATGGACGTTTAGTAAATCAATTTACACGTGAATTCCGTGCTACTACACACGCTACTATTTTTCTATGCACCGGATCTTGATCATCTTCCTCACTGGTCATGGAAAAAAAAGTAGATGCCGGGTGACAGGACTGGACCCCATAGCCCCAATTCTCATCCATAGCCCACATTTCAGATATCATGTTCAATAAAATGGCCTCTTAGTTCTCACTTGGTGACTTATGATTTAAAAATTACAAATTTGAATTCATAAAATTCATGGATATTGTCCTGCCTGGAAGTATAAAATGACGGTATAAATCACTGCTTTTTACCTCTTTTGCTTATAGGGGTTTTATATAAGATCTTGTTTGATTGAAGATGTCACTTCTAAACAAGCTCAAAAGCCCACTGTTCTAGCCCTAAATTTCATTTGCATTTCCAGACTAAAGGCTCATTTTGGCTTTGATGAGGTGGTTTCTGCTATCACGCTAGCTCACATAGGACAAGACTTCTCAACTCCTGCTGCATGAAACTGGGAAGCTTTTCAAAAATACGCCCAGGCCTATACCTAGTGATCCCCCTATAATTGGGCTGGGAAAAGGGTAGCCCAGGTACCAGTATTTATGAAAAGCACAAATAACTGTAAAAAAAGAAAAAAGATTCTGCGGGACTTAAAAAACCAAGTAGTTAACTATGGAAATGTTGAAGTTTTGAATTGCTGATTTTTAAAAAATTAATTATATTGTGCCATTGTCTTTCTTGGGAGTAAGGCTACTGCAGTCTTAAGTTTGTTGTATGATTTGGAGGCCAAAAACAGCGTTTAGTAGAATCCCTCATCTATGGACAATGTCCTAAGGCTTCTGAAATTTTTTTTTAAAAATCTCTTATCTGTCATTCTCTGAAACCTACGTGCAGCAGAATTTTAATGTCCCTTATTGGTAGGAATAACTAACACAACACCTATTTCAGATCATGGAAATGAGGACTGACAAGGACAGTAGGTTTAAGAAGTTTGCACAAGTAGTGGCCTCCCTGGCACCCTTGTTAGCTTGAATAAACACTACTCCTCTGACAGATCCTCTGTAGCTCCACCACGCTGATAAAATCTGACATTCTGGTTAATCACTTTTTAATGATATTCTTCCTTTTGTTCTTGGTATGTGAGAAATCAGCCCCTTTTAAAAATAGGGTGTGGGAAAAAAATTAACTTTAATTTCTTAATTTGGTAAAATGGGCCGCTATAATTTCTATATATTAAGTATCTCCTCATATATTTTTTAAAGATTATAAAGTACCCTAAGTCCTATAGAGGAAAAACTCTGGGACAAATTATTCGAAAACATTGCGAGAAAATCCCGTACATTCCGATAGCAGGTTCCATTTCATTGCTGCATACTATTAAAAATGCAAATATCCATAAACATCAGTTTTGCAGGTTATCAATTTGTTGGAAATGGCTGCATGCTGTTCTTCTTCCAAAGTGTCATCCCTTTCATCTGGGTTCTTTAGGGGAGGAAGGCTCAGAAACATTCCCACTTGGGGTTGAATCCGTTAGGGCAGGAAAAGGAATCGAACCCTATATTGAACTTGGTTATTTGCAGCGGAGGCATGTCATCCTGTGTGAGACTGACGTCAGGCAGATTGAATGCAGAGGCAAACAGAGAGTGTGTGTGTGTGTGTGTGTGTGTGTGTGTGTGTGTGTTTAAAGCCCCACTCCCAGAATATGAAGTGAGTTTGAAGGGCACCACAGCAGCCCTTGGATCTGTCAAGAATGTACCTATTTTTAACATGCTGGATCAAGTGTCAGCACTCCATAGGAGATGAGGAAGGGGGCAGAGCCCGACTTGCAGAGATTCCGTGGATGGTAAATGGCCCTCTGGCGTGTTTACAATACAGCTGTGCATTCTTAATGGCTCTGCCGCTGCCATGTCAGGTAAAGTTTTCTTTGCACGTGATGAATGGCAGAGGAATCTTTCGCGGAGGGAATCCAAGGAGCTGGGAGGAAGAAAAGGGCAGGGAAGAGCGGAAAAGAGCGAGAAAGAAGCCCGCAGCTCCAGAGGGACATAGCCTGTGCTTTGCAGTTGCTTGTGTGGATAGAAACCAGATGGTGAGCTGGAACACCCGCTTGGCTATCCGAGGAGCCAAACATATGGTTAATGGTCGGGAGAAATAGCTTTCAGAGCCAGGGCTTTGCTGACTGCTTCATATTACAGATTGTTACAGTGTGTCATTACATTGCCAACCTAAGTGCTTAATACCCACTGCGGGCGCTGGGCATACACTTACAAGAAGGACTTTTAGCTCTTTGCTGGCTCTGGATGGAGAAGTGACATCATAGAGAGGCTGAAAATGTCTAGTGCCGGAGGTAGGGAGAAGGGTAATTGTGTAGTGGAAACAACATTTCTTTTCTTTGCTTGTTAACAAGCGAAGCTGTCTCTCCTTCAGTCTTTACTCCACTGAACTGTACTGTTCTCTGAGAACCTTTCGTACACTAGGCTGGTTCTCTCCCCTTCTCTGTTTCTGTCACTCTCTCTTTCTCTGTCTTCTCTTCCTACACACACACACACGGAAGTTCTAAAGCCAACATCCACAGCCCAGGTCATGTCCCCCGACTCTTGTGGACTGGACACCCCCGTTCACCTGGAAGCCCCATCACGGCACTCAGAGGCCCTGCATTTGAAGTTTCTGTTTGGGAAGCTTTGGGCAACAGCAGGCCTGTGTTATCTAAGGAACTGCTGAGCCCATTCATCTGCTTTTCACGGCCCGCTTCCTTTTATTTTTAGCCAAATCCGTCAGGCCTGACAGGCGGGTAATTCGAGCCAGAGAAAGGGCAGAGCTCCAGGTTCTTTCCACAAAGCAATTCTTCTCCTCCCTCCTGGGAGGGCTCCAGACTTGGCCTGCTTCAGGCAGATGGATTTGTTGAGTCATGTGAGATCATTTACACAAAAACACAGTGAGGCAGTGGAAATTAAAAAAAAAAGAAGAAGAAGAAGAAGAAAAGAAAAGAAGGAGGGTGGGGGAAGAGGAAGGAGGAGGGGCACGGGGGAGGCCGGGCTGCCCCGCTACTGGGAAGCACAGGAATTCTGCAGCAGGCAGCTAGACTGCGGAATGCCTAGAGTCATTTGTGTATAAGGTAATGTCTAGTTTACAGAGCGGGGCGGGCCAGGCCAGCAAGGCGCCTCCAGCAGTTCGCCTCTGTGTCAAGGAGGAAGGGGGGGTGGGGCCACTGGAAAAAAAATTTTGAGAGCAACACCCACCCCACAAAGACCACACTGTTGACAGCGTTGGGTTCCAGTAGCAGTAAACTACCAATGGGCTGGTTTCTAGAAAATGAGTTTGCTCTGTGATGTAATACAAGTTTGCTTTGTCCTGACGCCAGCATGACACTGAGGCAGCAGGGGAGGGAGAAGAGGAAAATTGGAACTGGGCTCTCGGTTAATGGATTCCAGAGCTCATTTAGCAGGACTTGAGTGGAGGGACGGAAGGGGGGATATTGGGGACACTTGCTGCGAGGTCTGCCGTAATTGCGGTAGGTAAAATAAAGTCATGACTATCGTTTCCTTGCTCAAGAAGAATTGAGCCATGACTTTGAAATGCCAAGGAAGGTATCATTTTTCCCTACCGCAGTATTTATTTTCCTTTGGCTTCTGGGGAGAGGGGGCAGAAAGCCCCACTGTTACATCACGGCAAACAGTATTAACGTGAGTGAATTAGTTTTGTTTATTGCTTATGCCACAAACCCTGAAAACACTCCATTAAAAAAATCATCTCCTGCTCATTCATGAAATTCTTCTTTTTCTTCTTCAAATTGGCTTCCACGCATTAGCTGTGCTTGGATGAGGATTTTTATTTTCTTTTTTCTTTTTTGCTGGAGTAAAAGAGTTCGAGGAAGAGTAATGAATGGGTTATCTAAATGTACATTTTTACACCAGATGTAATGAAAAGATGCCATGTGCAAGAGAAGGGAATATTTGGAGATAGGAACTGAAAATCAGAAATCAGAGCATGCACCATGACTATTTTCATTTATGATGCATTTCTGCAATTATTTAGAACCCTATTGTACAGCTATTTTTTTTTAGCCATCCTAGAATGTAGGTCAACATCATCATGGTTCCGTATACTTTGTTGGTATTTTAAAAGTGGAGACATTTTGCCTTTCTTCCCCCAGACCTACATAAACTTCGGTTACATGGGCAGTTTTAGTACTCATGGAACGTAGCTCCTAAAACCCTTCTGTTAATAGTCACCGCTGAATTTTGACAGTAGGCACTCGGATCACACCCCGACCTGTTATAAACACGGCAGCACTCCTGATGTTGCCGATCACGCTGTCTGACATTGAAGCTATTCCGCTTTTTCCCAGGCAGCTCTGATGATCTCACTCTGCATAGTTAAAGGACAGCTTTTATTTATTTTTTTATTTGTTTTTGGCTTGAGGAGAGAACTGGTAATTTTGTGTGGTTGTTTTACACTTTGGGGATCTCGGCCTGCATGATCTCACCGTGACTGTAATGTGATGATGGGTTGGCGTGACTTAAACCTCCCCATGTCCTTGAGTGTTCCCGCCACGTCTCGGTCTCGATGCTGTTGGCATTTCGGGCCAGATGACTGTTTGATAGGGCGGCTGTCCTGTCCATCCTGTGCACAATAGGATCTTTAGTTGTGTTACTGGCCTCTACCCACCTGATGCCGGTAGCACTCTCCCCGTCGTGACAACCAAAAATGTCCCCATGTCTTGCTAAGTATCCCCTGCGAGGCAAAATCACCCCGGCTCAGAACCATTCCTCTGCGTTCTCCTTCTGGTCTACCTCCTGAGATGGCTGCGCAGAAGGAAAGGGTATAAAACCATGTTTTGCCTCTTGGCATTTTAAGTGGGAATCCCAAGTGAGGTCAAGTTTTTCCGAGAGTACTTTGAGTTTTGCTATGCAGAACCATTTCTCTCTTGGAATTCTGACCTGAGCAGGTGGAACCTCTCAAAGCGGCCTTCTGGTGACAGTGACTGTTGCCAGCACTGTTGAAAAGGAAGTGGCCCCACTGCCTGAGCCTAGGGATGTTGACATTAGCAGAAAGGGAACTTGTCACCAGGGACCCGAACAGAGAGCCCAGGCCCCAGGCTCACCGCCTTTCTGTTCAGCCCAGGAGGGAAAGGCTGCGGCCACAGTTCTTTCTTGGGAGCCCAGCCGACTTCCTCCCTGTCCCAGTGGCTGTGGTCTCCGAAGCTGTGGTCTTCCTCTCGTTAGCGAGGAATGCAGTGCTCGCCACAGGCTGGGGCAGGCATAAATTTCCTCTGTTTGTTTTGTGAGGACTAGTGTCGACTGCTGTAATGAGATCAGAGGAGACCCCGGGGTCGGCTGCTGGAGCCGTTTTCTGTGGCTGTTCTCTTGGCTGCGTGCTGCTGGAGGCGGCCGAGGCTCCCTGGAGGCTGTGGTTGTGATGTGGTGGGGTGGTCGTGCCCCTGTCGCATTCCTCGCCGCCTTTGCTTGTCTCGTGCCACCAAAACATCAGCGCTGCAGTCATCCAGTCCTAAATCATGGAAAGGTGAATGCAAGGCGGAATCCTTCCCACAGAACTGAGGACAGACTTGGTCGCCTGCAGAAAGTGCAGCCTTGGGCAGGAAGGTGACCTCTGCTTCCTTGGGATAACCACCCGGAGTGCTTGCTTGCTGTGGGCTGGAGGGAGGTTCTCAAGGCCTGGGCTACCCGGAAGCTCTTTCTCACCCAACGTCACTCTGTTAGGGGGAAGAGTTAGGGAATGAGTCACAACGATTAGCTTATGCTAAGAACATATTTCTGGCTCTCGCCTAAATGACAGCTAAGTGACTACATATGGGACCTAAATATGGCAGAATTGAGTTTAGGGAACCCAATACTGGACCTTCCTGTCAGCATAGTACACTGAGCCAATGCAGCCTGGCCCACTTCCGACCACCCAATCCACAAAATCCTACGGTATATTGGATCACAGAAAATATTTTCAAGTATAGATGAGCTTTAAAGCAGGAAAAGGAAATTCCCAAGTACCAGAAGCCATTGATGCTACTGGCCTGTGAGTGTTTCAGGGTCTAGGATCCAGGGGCTGTGGTGTTTAGACTCACACAGGAACTGCTTGTGAAAAGGGGACAAGAAGAATTTCCCCCAGAGTCTGTCTGGGGCTTTGAATATGTATGTTTGAAGTACGGGGCAAGAGGACGGAAATCCAGGGTTATGCTGTTTGAATAGCTGTGGGGTCCATAGCTACCCTCCCTGCATGGTGGGGGAGCTTCTACTATTTTGAAATAGAAACTGGTTCAAGAGTATTGAAAGCCCTCAGACCGTGCTGAAAGCAAACCTAGATCTCAGGCGAGGTTTAACCCCTCAGGATGCTGTACTCCCTCCAAAAGAACAAGCCACACTAAAGAGAAGCTGGTAATAAAAAGTACCGAATCTAAGCCCCAGGAAAACAGAGGTTAACAGTGAATCTCTGAATGTGCTTTCCACCAGAGTCCATCCTGCCAACTAGAGCTTTCTACTGGGGATTAATGAAGGTTTCTTCCCAGAGGGGCAAGGCATGCAATTCAACCCACCCTTGCTTACTAAGCAGACGAACTGCAGTTATAAGCACCGGCCCCCATTAAGGTGACCATCCTCATTACAGCCTGTCCCAAGGTCTTTTTGAGAATATTTACATTCCTTCGTTGGAAACCTTTTAGGCTTCCTTAAAAAGATACCTTCCTAGTGATTTTCCTTGTCCTTGTTCCGGTGGCTGTCTTTTGAGTTCCGGTTTCCCACCAAATCATAGGAAATGTGTTTGCCTGAATTGTACAGCAAACCCCAAGGGAGAGGGGAGCTGAATTTGTCTGGAAGGCTGTGTCATTCTTTCAGCATAAAACCAAAGAAACTTGGGTAAGTCAGGCACGGTTAGTAAACCTTTGTCCTAGATGAATAGAATTCAGCCTTCTCAATCCAAAGTGGACGAATGGATGAGGAGTTACTTTCAACCATGTACTCTCCATGCAGTGATGTGCACTGTTGGCAAACATGAATTGAGGACGCTAAAATTAAAGCATGATTCCTTAGGTATTAATAGGGTAAGGGAATCTCGTGTGTTTAATATTTTTTTCTTGTGAGGTATGCAAAAAGGACATTGCCAGTACTGGCCAAATAATTCCCTGCTGACCTTAAAGCAATGCCATGCTTCTTGAGAAAAAACTCTTCAGGATTTTATTCTTAATTTGGACTTATTGTAAAAAATTAATCTCAAAATACTCTAGCCAAGTGAGAAACAGATACAGATATTGACATGAAAGCTTCAGAAGAGTATAGAAAGAAAGGAAATAGGCTCAGCTGGCATTACATTTAAGCAAGATCTTCCAAAACATTGTTATTAAATTTGGCATATATTGGGTGCCTACTGTGTGTAAAGATAGGTGCTGGGTATTTGGGTTCTAGGACAAAACAGACAAGATCTGTTGAAATGTTCAAAATAATCTCAGGAGGCATAAAGAATTTCCCTTAATCTTAGGGATAAAGGTACAGAGAGACTCAGAGAGTCATTTGCCAAAATCACATGCCAAGAGGTAGAGTTGACATTCAGATCGACTTGGCATTAGGTCCCTGCTTCACCCACTCTTCCCCTTGGGCTGTCTGTGCTCAATAAAGCCACAGCAGTATAACCCCAGAGGGGCCAGGCAGCAGGTTGGGAGCTTCCACCCCTGGAGATGTAAAGGAACAAAGAATCCCCTGACTGACATGAAAGTTGTACAGTGAAGATGCAAACTGGCCGACCAAATCCAGTACCCGCAGGATTTCCAAAGTATTAGCATAAGTTCCCAGCATTAATAGAACAAATGATTTTACATAATCTCTCAACTCTCCTTCTTGAATCTCACAAGCTCTTGGGCGCATGGGGCTTGTTCCTGCCTTGCTGGGGCCAGAGTCGAGTGACAGACCCTCCAAACCCTCCCACTCTTCACTGTCTTCTCAGGCCTGACTTTTCCACACATCTCATTCTTACTTGACTTGACCCCTGGTTTAAATAGTCACGCAGGCAAGGGAACTGGGCTGGGCCTTGTAACCTCTTGGGAGCTCTTCCGTACTACGCCTTTATATTGAGATAGTCCTCAATCACTGGGAGACTGAAATTGACCTTTTATAAGGATAGCTCTGAATCTAAACATCTGATATCCTGACTTGTGATTTGACCGTATACAGGAATCCCCTAGTCTGTGTGCCAGAAGTGGTTCTGTGAAAGCAACAGATACTTTGCCACTTGGCACTCTTGGCCCTCTACTGACCTCTGTTCCTCCCCATCTGGCTCTTCGACCATCGTGTGTGTGTGTGTGTGTGTGTGTGTGTGTGTCTAGCTGCATGTCTCTCCTTTAATAATCCTCTTGTGTCCTCTTCTTTATCACAGTTTCCTATTGAACCACAACTCATACGCTAGTTAAAATTCAGAATATTAATGTTCAGATATCCTAACCTATCCTTGGGAAGGAAGGCCATTATGGTGCATGATGGGAAGGTGCTCTCCTCTTTCTGACTTGGGATGTGTGTTTTCCAGGGTATTCTGTGACAGCAGGGAATGGGGGAGGAGAGCAGAACAGCAAACATTGCCCAGTCTCTTGGGGCAGAGCCGTGTTATGGTGTGTTTGCTGCCTCCGGGTAGGGTTGGTGAGGACACCCGAGGTCCTGGAGAACCAGAGCCGGACATCAACCATCACCTTGAGGGTGGAAGACCTGTAAGAAGCTTCTCGGGGAGCTCAGCTCTGTTCCTCCTGCCTTTCTGTAGGGGGAAAGGAATGGGCCAGCCACTTTGGGAGGTGTGTGTACCGTGGGGACAGGCGTCAGGAACCTGTGTGTTCCTTTACCTCCAGATCCCTTTATCCCAGCACCATGCCCCATATTGTAGAAGGGAGGGATTAGACTTTCTGTAATGAAATAGCCTTACACATAGTTCATCTTGGACAAGGATTCCAGTTGAAGGTTGTCAAGACTTACTTCAGAGCCTTGTAAATTACTCCAGCCCTCAAAACACAGTAGAGGAAATTAGGGGTATTTCTCTCACCTGTCCATCTGATGGCCCAAGCTCCTAAATCCTAGATTTTAGAGCATCTCCTCTAGACGCCTAAGCCTGTTCATCTTTTTTTTCTCTGCCCCATCCTGCCCTCCAGAGGGTTCATCTTTTTATGGCTTCACTTATTCTTTCCCCCCAAGCTCTTGGGTTTGGTCTGGTTCCTCATGCTCTAGCAGGATGTAGAGGTGGGAAGGGGAGGGATAAGAGTCCATTCCACAGACTGGCTTAAGGGTGCATTCTTACTATTATTTATTATTGTTATTTTGAGTTGGAGCCTCATGCTGCTGCCCAGCCTGAAGTGCAGTAGTATGATCACAACAATCACAGTTCATGGCAGCCTCAACTTCCTGGGCTCAGGCAAACTATCCACATCATCACAAGTAACTGAGACAACAGGCACGTGACACCATGCTCAGCTAATTTTTATTTTTTTATTTTTTGTCGAGATGAGCTTTTGCTGTGTTGCCCAGGTTGGTCTCAAACTCCTGGGCTCAAGCAGTCTGCTCGCCTCAGCCTCCCAAAGGGCTGGGATTACAGGTATGAGCCGCTGTGCCTGGCCTTCAGGGTGCCTGATAACCAAAAGCTAGTGAGACCTTTAGCCCTGTGAAAAGTGGCCTGCTTGTCCTTATTGGCCTGTCTCCCACAGGAGTGTCTGAGCTACCAGCTCTGAGATATACTACAAAAGGTTTCTAGAATGAATTTTGAAGAATGGGGTGAGAGTTGGAATGAGGAGAAAAGCCCAACTCACCATATTCCGCTCCAAACTTGTAATAACTATTTGCTGCATTTTCAAGGGCCCAGGCACAATGCATACACAAACCAGCCCTTGACACTTTTAAGCTTCTCTTTAGAGGAAGGAGGATAGGATAAAGTTAGCTTCTGCGATTCTCACCATGCCTCTGTACCGCATTAGCAGCGATCCAGGTGAAGCAGGCTTCTCTCCGTGGGAGGTGGCGGTTGATGGTAAATAAATAGTGGTGAAACAGGTAGGCCCGGTCTTAGCTTTTTAGTCCAGCTCCCACTTGCAGACGCCCCAGCCATGAGCGTGTGTAACCTTAGAGAAGCTCTGGGATGTGGAATTGTCACCAGGAGCCAGCATCTGGGTCCCTTCTCTAGCGAGGACCTGGCCGGTGAGGGGCACTTGACCATATTACCAGACTGTCTCTGGGTATCTTTCTTACCTTGTCTTTTTTCTTTGTAACCTTCACCTTTATTTCTCCTCTCTCTTCTTTGTACCCTGTCTCCACCTGCCTGCTCACCCACACCACTTCCATCCATCTGGAGAGATGAATTGCTAAGTAACCTCCTAGAAGTCTAAGATTGACCATAGGCTTTGTTGACCATTGAATCAACTCTGTTAGGATCAGCTGAGTGGAAGTCACACATTGGCTTATGGGATTGACTTTCTCAGGGCCCCCTTTAGAGGCATCTGTACTTTCCTTCTGTTCATCACCAGAGGAATCCAACCTGGTAAAAGATTAGAAAGAAACACCCTTAATTTCACAGTGGTAGCTCAGGTATCTTTTTCTCTAATGCTTTACATTTAAGATGCAGTCTCTTTTTTTAAGCTGTAAATTTCTCTAAGCTTCTTCATAAGATGAATTGGCTGCAAAACAATTTGCTTCTCTCTGTTTCAAAGGAGATGGAAAGGACTTGATAGAACAAGGCCAGTCTTTTTGGTTGCTGTCCAGAAGCGAATTGACCCAGTTTCTAAAACTGTTGTCTCTTCTCTGAGGTGTTTTCTGTTCATGGTGGTCTTTGATGTGTTTGTGAATGTGTGTGTGTGTGTGTGTGTGTGTGTGTGTGTGTGTGTGTGTGTGTGTGTTATTTGGGGGAAGTTGTGTTTATTTTTAATTTGTAGGTTCTGTACATGCTTTAATTCCTAGTATCTTCAAATGAAGTCACTTCTGGCCCAGGGTATACTGCGTATTATGGCATAACTGAGGAGAATTATTTTACCTCACTGTCTCTAGTTTCCTAATTGGAAACACTATCACTCAGATTGGTATCAGAACCAAATGAGAGTATTCGTGTAGAAGCGCACTATATACTTTTGAGCACTATACAGCTGTGTGATGTTCTTAATAATATTTTTAAGAAGCTTTACAACTCTGGCATTAAAAAATTTTCCTCGCTTTAAAAAAAACCCAAAGGCAATCTGCCACAATCATCAACAATGGTTTTAAGCCCCTACGCTTTTAGGAGTCTGTATGATCCAGTGCTCTGTGACTGAGAGCAAAGAAAAAAAAAATCTCTTCATCATATTTACTAAGAACATTTTATGTGACTAATTTTTTTCTCAAGAGGTTTTTAGTCTGGTTCGGTTGTAGAACAACATATGTGACAATGACATATGAAAACTTGGGGCAGGGTACAGGGAGGGATCCCTAATCAGTTTAGGGCAAACTGTGTACCCAGATCTGAAAGGATGGGGACTGTGGCATGACCAAGCCGGGTGGGGCTCCCTGGGGAAGTGGTGTACACGAATCCTTGTCTGTCTGTCATTATCTTCTTGTGTCCAGCTTTCCTGTGTTGATACCAATGTGGACATGTCTATGGAATTGTGACATAAGGCATCTCTGCAAGGCATTTGGACAGGCTTTCTAGTTAAGTGCTAGGCTGCAGTTTTAAAATGGACCTGTACATATATGAAAAAAAGAAACAGCATGGATAGAGTTCTGCTTTAAAACTCAGACATGTATTAGCATCTGCTTCTGGAAATTCAAAGAGTCAAAGTTATCTGCATAATTTTTTCAGTCACTTTAGGATTGATTAGAAGGCACTATTGCGTTTTCTTGACTTTGAAACCATGATCACCCGGGCATCATGTATATGTGTGGAGATGTATAGATATAGTCATGCCACAAAGTCAGAGTTCCAGGGTCTCTCCATGTTGTGCACCATTGTTACAATATGCTATTGCTGTGGCTGAATGTGGTATTTTCTTTGGAATCTGTGTCTCAAATAGCCAGGGAGTGATTTGCAGTTTCCTCCTCCTATCTTCTTCCTCCTCCTGATTTATAAAAGGAATGTAATAATATTATGTTCACAGAATAGTAATGTGTATGGAATAGGAGCTTATCTTTTGAAAATGTAAATTGTGAAATCACTTTCTTAGCAGTGAAAGATGCTAATATGGGGAGTATAGCTTTGGAAATCTCCATGTCCTGGACTCAGCAGACATGTCATTCTCCAATAGACAAAGGCCGATTACTGAGAACTAAAGGGGATTATGGTGGGCTAGTGGGATTATGATTCCTTTTTCTATTGTACATATCTATATTGTTATTATGTTGTAATTTTAAATGATGCATTTTTATTTTTAAAAGCACTGCAGTTCCAGTTAAATCTTCAATTTCATGTTTTATGGGATAGTTCAAACATATAAATCCTTCCTAGATGCAACTTAAATAATGCACAAATCAAGTGATTATAAGGAACCTCACGATGTTTTGTTTTCCTTTCAAATCCACCTGTAAACATTTTTCAAAGAAAAAGACTGCAAATCTACTTAAATGGTTGAAGTGATTTTCTTTATGTTTTTCCTTAATATTTGGCAAATTAAGAATCCTGAAACCTTATACTAATTTTTTTTAACTCTAAAAATGTTATTCAAGTAGATAAAAATCTATGTCAAGATGTAATAGTATTTTGGGGGACTTGAGTTTTTATTCCTGAGGAGGTCAGAGCCCAAACTAGAGACTCTTAAAGTCATTGACCTCTCTGGCTTATTGATCACTAAATTCTTAGTACCCAGCCCTTTGCAAGTGCTCAAAACACAGTTATTAATGAATGAGTGTTCCTGTCACTGTGTATCTCCAGTCACTCTAAGCATATAATATCTAGCTTTTTCTTCCCACTGGCATGCCCATTGCCCAGTGGCATGCCTCAAGACTCTAGATTTTACACTCTAGATCTGCACTATCCAGTATAGTGGCCACTAACTAATGTGGCTATTTAAATTTAAACAAACTTAAGAATTCAGTACTAGCCACACTTCAAGTGCCCAGTGGACACATCTGGCTCACAGCCTCCATATTGGACAGCGTCGATGTGCATCACTGCCATCATGGCAGCAAGTCCCATTGGACACAGGACTGCTCTGTGCCTTCCTGAGCAGCAGCTGATAGATTTATTCTTTGCTTGTGCCCACAGGGCAGCTGTCTGCTTCAGAAAGTGAGGGCTCCACACACAAGGAGAATCTTCAAGAGCTGCCTCGCAGTGTGACATGTCTGATCCCTTGCTCCCATCCCTGCAGCATGAACAAGGTAAGAAGTGCTTTAGGGAATCGACCCTTGTGTTTTCTTTATGGTACTGTGACTTTCTCGAGTATGAAATGTCTTTCCATGGTGTGAGGAGGTTGCTTTTCCTGCCAGGAGTGCTCCAAAGGCTGTAGAGTTGTGTGACCCCTGGTGAGCAGGGAGGTCACACAGGAACGGGGCTGTGTAGTTTTCTAGAGGCATCACTTATATTTTCTAGAGGCCTCTAAGTAGCTGAAATATTGGTTCTTAGCATAACTGCCTTGGCATGAAACTTGGAAGATTAAAGACTCTGGGGCCAGATTGTCTGGGATTAAATATCAGCTCTTCCAGATGCTAGCACCGATGACCCTGGACAAGTGACTTAATTTCTTGGTATCTCAGTTTCCTCATCTGTAAAATGCTGATAATAATGGTACCTACCTCACCGGTTGTTGTAAGGATGACATGAGTTAATACGTGTGCCAGTGCTTACTGTAATGCCTGTCCACATTACAAGCTCTTGATAAATACTTGCTGCTGCTGTTTTGATGTTGGGGACCCCATTGTCCCTTAGATATAATGGCAACGTAGCCTGAGTACATTTGCAACATTTTCATTTATTTCCTGATTACACTGATGAGATTGATGAGCAACGATATTGATTACCAGAGGGATTCTCCGAGGATAAGCGATGAATAAGTCTCAGGTCATGCCTTCAGCAGGTAACGCACTCTTTAGTGTTCTAGTGAGGTATGTACCAGAAGGTCTGGTAGCACAGAAGGAGGAATATCCCTCTGGGGGATCTGGGAAGGACATTGTAGAGGAGGTGACATTTTGAGTCGGATCCTGGATGATGAATTGTGGTTTCCTAGACAGGGAAGGTAGCACAAAGCAGTCCAGATAAAGGAAGCAGCCTGTTTTTAGGCACAAACACATATGAGAAAGTCTGGCATGTTTAGAGAACAAAAAGTTGGGTAGGGCTGGAGCAGGGTTGCTTGGCCTCTACACCTGACATTTGAACCAGGTAACTCTTTGTAGCGAGAGACTGTCTTCTGCATTGTAGGGGTTTTATGACATCCCCTTCCCCTCACTCTAGTTGTGACAGCCAAAACTGTCTCCTGATATTGCCCAGTGTCTCTTGGGAAGACAAAATCACCTCCTGGTTGAAAATTACACTCGTAGACGGTGACAGAACCTTTGAGCCACTGAAGGATTTAAAATAGGAGAGAGGGCTGGGCACGCCATGCCTATAATCCCAGCACTTTGGGAGGTCAAGGCAGGAGGATTACTTGAGCCCAGGAATTTGAAACCAGCCTAAGCAACATGGCATGACCTCATCTCTACAAAAAACTTTTTTTAAATGAGGCAGGCATGTTGGTACACGCCTATAGTCCCAGCTATTCAGGAGGCTGAGGTGGAAGGATCACCTGAGCCCAGGAGGTCAAGGCTGTGGTGAGCTATGACTGTGCCCACTCCAATCTGGGCAAAAGGGTGAGACCCCCGACTCAGAAAAGGGAAGATAACAAAAAGAAGCAGGGGAGTGACATTTCTAGAGGCCTGAAAAACCAGGTGTGTTATTTGATACATTATCTATGGGTTGTGGTAGAGTTGGACAGCACTTTTAGATGATTTGGTCTCAAAAAGGGAGTTTGGGATTTCTAAACTTTAGAAAGCCCATTTAACTGGTTGAGGTCCTTTCACTAAGGACCCTTTTCCTTTTTTCTCATGGCCATTTCTTTGGCCTTCTTGCAGGCAGGAAGGGCCATGGGCTGCTTCAGCGCTTAGAGAATGCTGAAGGCTTCTGTGTGCTTATTCTCTTTGTTTGGATTGAAGTTTTGTGGAAGACTGTGGTTGCGTTACCCTTGCTGAAGAGATCAGCAAAAAACCAAGCAATTGTGTTTGAGAGGCTTTCATTTGAGAAGTAAACTGGTGGAAGACCAGAAGGTAAGCAGGTGTTCTGCTCCAGGGTCATGACTAGAGGGGAAGGGGATTCCTGGTTGCAAGCCTTGCTTCTGTTATTTAAAATTAGGTGTACTGAAAAGCCAAGACAACTCTTAGGAAATCTCTGCTCAGCAAGCAGTTTGCTGTGACAGGTCTGCCCTAAGTTTCTCCAGGGCAACTCAAGACTGATGTCCTGGATTCACTCTTGACACACAGCTGGGAACCAGATGCCTCAGAAATTGCAAGCGTCTCAGTAGGTGTGTCTGTTGTTTGGGAATTCCGTGCTACCTGAGTGGCCCAGTAAGTGCTTCATTGTATATTATTTTAATTGAAAGTAGTGATTAAGCATGACGTGTCACCTTCGTAAGTCAGCATTTTCTTATGGTTTTCTTGGTATAAGACAAAGAATAGGTCACTCCCTTCTCTGCACAAATAAAACTAGAGAATCATTTCTTCAACTAGGAGATGGAGTTTAGAATGTTAGAAATAGTGTTGTAGGTGTGACTGATGTTCTAAGTAGATTTGTTCCTAGAAAGTTGGAAACATCTGAACTGTGCGCTCTCCTCTTTCTCGGACACACACTGTAATATATACTCTTTTTTTTTTCCTTGTAAACCCCAGCCAGCTGATGGGACACCAGTTAAGAAGATGTCAGGATGGAGGGTTGCCCCAGCATTCTGGGGTTCTTGTTGTTTCTGTGGAGCCCCAGGGTGATGCTGATGGCAGTTAGACATTGACAGCTCTCTTTTGGGTCAATCAGAGTGGATTCCTCTAGAAAATATAGGAATGACTCCCTGCCCCCATGGCACACAGGGATAGGAAGTTTGTTTTTTAATTTCAGTAGTTTTAGAGGGTACAAATAGTTTTTGGTTTGAGCCTTAAGTGTACCCACCCCACCCCCATTTGTGCACATTGTACCTAATAGGAGATTAATAGGGCTAACCTAATAGCCAGTGAATTGCAGTCCACCAGGTAGAGCCTTCATGCCTCACATTCTTGAAATTCTATCTGTACCAGGGTCTAAGGAGACACCAGGAAGGTGTAGTTCCATCCCTTGGATAGCTAGCATGTTGGTGCATCAGAGCTGGAAGAAGAGAGACATGGATGAGCCTGGAGACAAGGCCCCGCTTGAATCTGCTGTCATGCCAGGGGCCAGTGTCCATGGCATGTGTCAGTTTGATTCCCAACTTAGGAGGTTTACACAGCATAGACACCCTCACATTGATTCACCTTTTTGATATTGTAAACAGGCTTTAATCGTTGTACATTCTGAGCCTTGCATAGTTAAATAAATGGTAGGGCACATATTTTCCCAGAATACTCATTCTTCCTAGTCCTGATGCAGACTTGAAGAAGATCACCTTTCCAATGTTCAGATGCTCTTCAGATCGTTTTGCAAGAGCTGACTTGCCAAACTTTATATTGATCAAATACTTCATAATTAGAACTTAATTTGTAAATTTTGTTGAAAGTCCTCATCTTTCTTACTTGGTTATTCTCTTGTTCATAGGTATAAACATATGTTATATATGTTATAATTTGTTGCTAGGAAGAAGGATTAATGTTTCGGGTTGATCTGTGTTACCTGTGTGCTATCATGCTATAAAGAAAAGATTTTAGTGTGTTATTAAGGGAAAAAAAATCATAGCCAGATGGGAGGTACATTGGACAAGATGGGATGCCGTAGAGACAGACTGGGTGAGATGATAGACATTCAATATGTACCGCTATGAAGTTCACAAAACCACACCAGCAAGAACTGTGTTGTACTCTGGAAGGCTTTCCCTTCCTTAGTTGCAATGCTGGGATTATGATCCTCCACTCGGTCCCTCATGGCCATTGTTTTTATAACGGCATGTCTCATGCTGTTCTCTGCCTTGAATTTATGAGGACACTCCATCTGATTGAAAAATAATTGATTTCTCCATTATTATACAAAATTACCCTCTCCCTCCTCCTACTGTGAAAAAGAATCTTCTTGAGAACTGTTTCTTCCTTGATATGTTCAAATGAAGCCGGATCTGACTTTTATTGCTTTGGACAAATGCCAAAGCCTCAAGTGAAGTAGACTAGTGCCTCTTATCTCTTTTGGTGGGTGGATGCCACTGTTTTGCTTAATTTATCTGCCCAACAGTATTTTCCAGTGTTCAGCACATCCTACTGTGCCAGGTTTGAGGCAGTTTCACATTTACACTAAGATCAATATCTCTACAGTCAACTAAAAAGTAAAACTAAAATTGAGTTCTGCCTTCGTTGAGAGTTTTTCTTACTCTGCACCTCCTTAATTCGAAGCAGTGAAGTCCAGAATTTATTACTCCTGCCTCTCCCACCCAAAACTTGGTGTATATAAACTCTGGTTGATAAGACATCAGCTCCTCCAATACATATTTATCTAGGGTGTACTATGTGCCGCACACTGTGCTTGCAGTAAATAATGTTAGTGAATAAAACAAAGGTCTTTGCTGTCTGAAGCTTCCGTTCTGACAAAGGTGAGGACACTCAGTACATCCAAAGGCTTAACATAAACCTCATGTTAAAACTGTTTCCATTTTAAACTTCTACTTGAAGAGCAAGTTAACAGAGATGCTAGATGCAGTATAAGGAATTAGTGAATAATAAGCATATGAGATCTTTCTCCTCTCCTTTCTGGGACATCCTCAGTGGTTTGTTTCATCAAATGTTCAATCTATATTTAATAAGTCTCAGCCATCATTTTTCTGAAGGTACTGGTCAGGTCTTTGTGGCAGACTTTGAAGAGCTGTTGCACCATTTGCAACCTAGTGACATAGAACAAAATACAAGTAAAAATAAATGATCTCGGAATAAGGAAGGCTTTTTTAATTTCTAGTGGCAGAAATGATCAAGAGAATGTATTTAACTGATAAAGAGAATGTATTTAACTGTATACAACTTCAAAATTTCTTTCCATCAAGAGACATTCTGAAGACAAAGGAACAGGCTGAGGTGGTATTTCCACATATGATATAAAGTTGGTTAATTTATCAAGAATTCTTACAAATTAACAGAGATTAATTAGATAAATATGATCACACTAATAGAAAATGGACAAACAGCAGAAAGATAAG